ATGGTACTGAAATTAGTCTTTTTTTGAACTTTCTAAAACTCAGAAAACTGAAATAATTTTACTGTCAAAGTCCAAAAACTTTAAATTCCCAAATTTTGGAAAAAATTGTTACAGTTTTCAAAAAAACGTGAAATTATGGAAACCTATGTACCTGTAAAATTTTCAAAATAGTTTAATTCCAAAAATTTCGTCAACGGTAAGATTTGAAGGGTTCTTTCCAATTCCAAAATAATTAAGAATATAAATCCTAGAAGAACCAATTGTATTGTTTTTGGTAATAAAAAATCGAAGAACCGAGATAATTTTAAAACTGTCAAAATCCAAATATTTTAAATTACCAAATTTTGGAAAAGTTGTTCAATTTAGAAAAATTTTAGACCTTTTTAGGTTTTAATATATAAAGGACACTATAATTACTTGATTGTATTAAAAAACCTTAAGAAATGGAAATGTATGCGTCCGGAAATTTTTCAAAATAGCTAAATTCCAGAAATTTAGTCAACGTTAAGGCTTAAAAAGCCATCTCTGATTTCAGAATGCTTAAGAATATAAATTTTGAAAACACCAACACTATTATGGTACTGAAATTAGTCTTTTTTTGAACTTTCTAAAACTCATAAAACTGAAATAATTTTACTGTCAAAGTCCAAAAACTTTAAATTCCCAATTTTGGAAAAAATTGTTACAGTTTTCAAAAAAACGTGAAATTATGGAAACCTATGTACCTGTAAAATTATCAAAATAGTTTAATTCCAAAAATTTCGTCAACGGTAAAATTTGAAGGGTTCTTTCCGATTCCAAAATAATTAAGAATATAAATCCTAGAAGAACCAATTGTATTGTTTTTGGTAATAAAAAATCGAAGAACCGAAATAATTTTAAAACTGTCAAAATCCAAATATTTTAAATTGCCAAATTTTGGAAAAGCTGTTCAATTTCGAAAAATTTTGGACCTTTTTGGATTTTATTATATAAAAGACACTATAATTACTTGATTGTATTAAAAAACCTTAAGATATGGAAATGTATGCGTCCGGAAATTTTTCAAAATAGATAAATTCCAGAAATTTAGTCAACGTTAAGGCTTAAAAAGTTATCTCTGATTTCAGAATTCTCAAGAATATAAATTTTGAAAGCACCAACACTATTATGGTACTGCAATTAGTCTTTTTTGAACTTTCTAGAACTCATAAAACTGAAATAATTTTACTGTCAAAGTCCAAAAACTTTAAATTCCCAAATTTTGGAAAAAATTGTTACAGTTTTCAAAAAAACGTGAAATTATGGAAACCTATGTACCTGTAAAATTTTGAAAATAGCTCAAATTAGTTTTTTGGTAATAAAAAAATTAAAAAACAAATAAAAATTAAGCTCCAGGTCTGCAGCCCCAATAAATTATGTTGTTCAGGTACAATTAAAATGCTGAAATTTATTTCATCTACACGCATTTACACTAATGATTACCCGTATAACGTGCAACTTCCGACATGTCTTGGAGCAAGTATTCTGACACTGAACAGGTGCTCAGTTGAAAAAATTCGTTTTGTCGCCACTAGTGAGCATTCACCTTAACTTCTCATTAAACAACACATTCATTCAATTTAATTTCGGCACAGGTGCAAAGTTAACGACATTTTAAAAGATCATGAAACATCTGCAGACGAGATCTGTTGGTTATTTGAAATATCAATGTGGCGTTTAAACGCGATTACACGATCATAAATGTGTTAAAAACCGAAAAAAAAAAAAAAAATGCGGCTTGAACTTCAAGAGCTTTTATTATTTTATGATTCCGGAACCGAAAATCACCACAAAATCTGCACAATCCATCAATGATCGATGGGAACGCTCAATAAATCCTCGATACCTCCATATGGCAGTAGCACCAGTTCCAACCCATAAATCTCTCCCATTTTCGTGGGTTATAAATCTCGGCGTCCGCAAATTGCTGTTTGAAACCTGACGCCTCGAGCCCGTTCCCAATTTCAAACATACAGTTTGCAAACCCGCCTATGTCTTCGCCATGTTCCACGAACATGGTTATCGCCCAACCATCGCGTGTTCTTACCTTGTCATACGCTGGTCGTTGCCTTGACCATCATCTTGATGCTCCAAACGTGCTTTTCTTTTGCGCCAGCTGCCGAGGCACGTTCTTCACAAAAAATATTGCGTGTTCGTAATAAACTTTTATGTGGTAGTTTGTTATGGTGGTCATGGTTCGTATTGTTTGATTTCTCGGAATGCAAAAATTGATGGGCTTTTTTCCCGGATTAAGTTGTCCAATCAGTCAAAAAGGAAGCGGCTTTTTCTCTTGACTCGAACTTCATAAATCAAATATGGGTGGGTTTTTGTAAAGAGAGACGGCTGAACGACATTCTGGGTAATTATATTGCTGGGGTAATTTGTAGTGATTAGTTTGCCGTCTAGATTCTTGGTATTTCTAGTAGATGGATAGGCTTGGTTATTAATTATTAATTGCGTATTCATGTGTCTTTATTTTCATTAAAAAAAAAATTAGTTTCGATAAATGTCAAAAGGTTGTGATATGGTGATCTGCACATATGACGGCTTAATTTTAAGAAAACATCTGGAATTAAGTATTATGCAAAATTAGATAACATTCATGAGCATCAATTAGTATGATTGCATGTGTTGGCATAAACGATAATGAACTAACGATACTAAAAACTACAAGTAATGTTGTTTTGCATAATTATCACTATCACTACAATTTGCAATAAATTAGCGACAAGCAACATTTCATCCAACCGTTATTACTTTGATTTTGACGATCTCGGAACGCGGTAACCCAAAGCAAAATCAAAAATGTCGACATTACTTTTATTAGCACCATAATAATAAATCACCCCTCCCAGATAAATTTCATTTTACATAACATTAATAAACCTTCAAGAGCCGTCATTTCGGAGACCCATAAATAAAAACAGAAGGCTCGTTGACCCCTGATAACAATTTAAATTTAACCCAATTAGCCGTTAACTTAGCATGTATCATCTTAAGTGAGACATATTATTAACATCTATCCTGCCTAGCATACAAAACATGCACCCATTTACCAATCAGAGTAATCGTCCGAATTAAAATCCAATAAAATCTGCGGAGAATAAATTTAGAGTGAGGCGTCGACTGTCGGTCACTTGAGGTTTGCATTAATCTTGGTGTACTTGGTAAATCGTTGCGTTACCGTTGTGAATGAAGCTTTATCCTTACGAGCGATTGCGTGTCGGGCATAATAAACTCGTTTCGTGTCTAAGTAATTAATAGTTGCATGCATCATCTTCGAACAACAAAGCATTCCTGCATGTCGTTAAGCGACACAAAATGCAACCCCTGTACTGTACAAGGGCGTGTTTTGTTTACTAACGTGTAGGTGTGGCTTTATTTTTAGAAGGAACTAATTACGTTATAATGGGTGTTTGTGGACGTCCTGTATATTCTAATATGGAAATCTTAGCCATCCATCAGATCTCTCACGGTTACTTTGCATATTATAAAAGCCTCTTTTTAATAACTTGGAAGTTAATTTTTATTTCCGGTAGGAGTCAGATTGAAGTTCTGATTTTATTACTGGAATGTCATTCGTTGCTTAACAAGTGTGAAAAAGTGACTTCGAAAGTTGCACTTTTCAGGTAGCAACAACCCAAATTGGCCAAAATTTTCGTAAATCAATTTCAATTGGCGGGAGAAAGGTGTTGATTTATTCTCACCTTTCGGTGATTTATTCCTATTAATATCGCTACTATACACAATTTAGAAAGTTTAAAAAATTAGTAATTAACATAAAATATTGGAAGTTAAAACGAATCAGCGTTTAATCGTGATAAATCCCGTCGTAAAATGAAAATAGAAAGACAGCTGCAACTGTGTGGTCCGATAAACCCCCCGATAAGCATTTTTCCGTTTTAACAACGAGCAGCATTGTAAAAAGTCCCGATTCGCGTATTGAACGTTTATTTATTAATCTTACATATCCTCCGACAACTGTTTGAATTTAAATCGTTTGATTAAAAATGTTCGCGTGGGACGGCGCGATGTTTAACAAATTTCCAATCACATTTCGCAACCGACGCTAATGAAAAAATACCTGTTCAGTAATCGAAACACTTCTTCAATTTTTAACTAACGAAAACAACAGTACGTAATTAACCGAACGTTATGTCATGCATTGTTCTTCCTACTTAAATTAAGTAGGTTATTTCACTTTAGTTGGGTCAATGCTACTCGCTACACCGGTTATGGCCATAGCGTAGTTCAAGCATAACATATACAGAGTGGCGACTTAAGCGTAATTAGCGCGTGCCACTAATCAGCGCACCTTGGTGGTCACCCCGCCCATAACTAATCCGAATTTATAACCAGTTACGTTTTATTACTTTCTTATTTATGTTTAATTATGATTTTTAATATCTAATGCCCCAACTCTGTTTGGAAACTGGAAGTGAGATAATCGGTTATGAAATAATTACGCATACGACTCGATTTGTTTTTCTCCTTGACAGTTGGCGTTTCGTAAGGCGTCCACCCACGTCTCAAGTTTCACGAAGAAGCTACTCCTGGAGCGTTATTTATTATTGTCGTTTCTTAATTGTATTTTGAACTCAACACCTAATCAAACACAATTGCGCAGTGGACACTCGTATTTACCATAATTTTGAATAAATCATCGAGGCTATAAATTATAGTCAATGTCACGAGGAACCGAAAATTGTCTCACCTAGTTTTGTCACACTCTATTAAAATTTATGAGTTATGAATTTGGAAGGTTATTAAATAATGGCGCAACTTTTTTTCCAACAAACAACTCAAATTCTATTTGGGCAAAGCTGTAAAAGTAAAAATAACACTCGACTTGTTGAATCATCGCTGTGTTTATGGAAATGACGGAATTAATATATGCTTATTATAAATTTAATGGGTGGATTTTATAATTGTGTATCCCAGATGTTTGCTTTTTAATGGAACTATTTCGTTTGTTACAGGCTCATGTGGTATCGGCGTTCGAGCAAAGTCTGTCGTCTATGACACAGAGGTTGCAACATCTGACGGCGACGGCAGAAAAAAAGGTACTCCCAGAAACATTTCCATGCAAAACAACTCTAGAATTTTTTTTTTAACAAACGTTTCAGGACTCGGAGCTGACCGAACTCAAGAACGCAATGGAAGCTTTACGAGCACAGTCTATCCAAGCGGGTATAGGCACCGGGTTAGCACGTCAACCGTCCTCCGACAGCGTCTCCAGCCTATCCTCCGCCTGTAGTTTAGATAAACACGAAAAGAAAAAGAAGAAGGGATGGGTAAGTCGCGAAACTTTTGCCACCTAAAGATTACTCCGTATAACGAATGCATCCCAGGAACTGTACGCATGTAAATCTTGGAAGAAGAGGGTAAAACAATTTTTTTATTTGCTACAGCAGCCGAGCATAACACTCCAAAAACCACTTTTTTTCTCTCGTTACCTTTGTTTCGTTGGCATGCCGTTTTTCGAGCTGCTAGACCTCTTTGTAATGCAAGCAGCGTGCTATCGCATTGATGTTCTTACGTAGGATCGTTTAATCGCAATTAAAGCTTTTAATAAAGCGATCATGTCCGGAGTATGTTCGCAACGCACATTTCATATTTGCAGAAGATCTTAATCGCTGTTATTAAATACAGGTTTTTTGTTTTCTGTGTCTAAGGTAGGTGATTTGCATTAATGGAAATTAGCTTTTTTAGCCATTTCATTACGTATTCGCTTACAAATTTATCTGAAATGCTATTAAGTTCATTAGCTTCGATAATAAAAATACGAATAATCAAAGGTTAGTGCCGCTTCCGGGTCTTTTTCTGGGAATGTTGCAAAAAAAACGAATTGTATGTGAATTAGATTTCTAAATTCTATTTTTGGGGGAACGGGGCAGCCGTTAATCACCATTTATTCATATATCAACGTCTTCTCAGAATAGTGTATTCGTTACATCAGACCTTTTCAATTATTCCACTGACCCAGTATTTGACCCTTGTTATGATCGTATTTTTTATTTACTTTCTATTCTAATGAATACTGATTGCGCTATTTTAACAGCGGCGCGAATTTCACACCACTCATTTCAAAATTATCGCAGTTTTCATTTCGTTGCGTTCACCCATCTTTCAAGATATCGGTAAGGTGCACTCAGATGAAACCCTGGCGTCTCCAGGGGTCCTCTGGCGCTTCTTTAAATTTAATAGTGCTGTAGTTCTAGCTTGCCTCGTCCATTGATTAAATACATATAGATAGACCCATGCTATTGTTTGGAGCGAACAGGCCAACGGCCGGCGAACAAGAGATGGCGCACCAACAGTCGGCCATCAAACGCCGGCGAAAAGCTTGGACACCAATCACGCGCATATGCAACCCAAATCACAGCAACAATACATTTAATAAATCTACCACTCGATAGAGGGCGACGAAAAAAATGTGTAAAAATCTCATAGTAAGCATTTAAATAATTTACAACGTTGCCTAACACAAGTTTGCCGTTATTTCTAGCCAAGTGGGTTTTATTTCGTTTAAAAGTTTCTGACAAAGAAATGGGATTATTATAATGAATAAAAATAAATAAAACAAACAAATTATTACTTGTTATTTTAAATACTTGTTAGTGCTAACATTATTATAAATACGGTCCGGTAACTCAAATTTTATAGAAAGAGTGAGATGTTTCAGGACGAGGCGACCGTAGGGAGCCGAGTTTTTAATTTCGAAACGAGTACTGCGAAAAGAATAATCGGAGGTATGTCGTTATGGATTTTATTTCATACTGTCAACATATTTTTTTTATTCGATAAAATAATTACTATTTTGGAAAAAGTTCAAATCGAGTCAGTTTTTCTGACATCGTTAGCAACCGCTGTTTGGCTAATGTTTTAATTTGTTTATTCGTGCAAATCAGCATCAAATGTTTAACAAACTAAAATTTTCATTGAAGAGACATACTGTTATAGGAAACTTTATTACAAATCTCTTCATTTACGAGCTGCTGAAGGACCGCCGGTCTCATTGATAATTATTACCTACTTCAGTTCTTACCTGGCTTGTACTTAAGAATGAAGCGAAAAATGTTCCAACAATAAAAACCAAAATGTACAGACTGGAAATATAGTAAATGGGGTAGTACCTACATACAAACGTATGCGTAATATGTCGTTAGACATTAGGTATTTATCAAAATTAACCAAATCTCTTAGTTTACGCACTATTGGACGAGCACTCCTTAAAACGGTCAGAATACTTAATCGCATTATTCCATTGACACCTACCTAAAACTTTGCCAGATGAACCTAACACAAATTTGCGCATATTTCTCGTCAACCAGGTAATATTTGATTTTGAAGTTTCTAGAAGTAAATAAATGGGAATATTATAATGAACAAATAAAACAAACAAATTATTGTTATTATTATTTGTTGTTTTAATCCATTAGACGCTTATAGGCTATCGCATACTTTTCTTGAAAAATCGGTAATAAATTCAGTGAAGCATCTTTGCCCCTTAATTCCTATGGGTAAATTGGGATTTTGAATAGAGATCGCAGAAACATTTTTTATGGTTTTATGGTTTATTTGCATAATTTACTTATTTACAATGAATGTTTTTAATATATAATACAAGTTCTTGATATTATTTATTTTTATTACAATTAATAATCTTGTGTTATTTTTCATTTTCAACAAGAAAATTTTGTCGCTTATTATCTAACATATTTTTATACAATGAGAAACACCATATGTTTCACATCACAGGACGTTGCAGGAACAGATTCACAAATTTTTCTTTTTTTTCTTCTGTTTTGCAGTGAGTGGGAAATATGGTGTATTGTACATTTTACAATAAAAATATCGATTTCAGGCAAATTTCCGCACCACCAATGAGGTATTGCCATGGCGCTTTTTTTTGTTTTAGCAGTGCTATCCCCAATAGGCCTAATGCACTACTTGCCGATATTGATTCAGATAATTATCCGCTGAATTAAGACATGATACTGGAAAACTGACACAAATAAACCACTCAATTTACAAAAACTCAAGCTTAAAATATCCTGATTTTTTTACATTTAAACTCAATTTAAACCAGCTTCTTGGAATCAAAAACACCAAATTTGGATATTCCACAATTTTTTTCTTATTTTGATGCCATTTTCCTTTTTTAAATAATTTGCATATAATTAGATGATTTAATATAAATACTTTATGCTCTTTACACTGACCGTCATTTATCCAAATTTGACACAATGAATTACTTTTGAACATTTCAATTAAAGTCAATTTTACGTTGTACTTATAATGAATTTCTTCGTAAACAGTCTCAAATATGTTTAAACATTCATCGATAACTTTTATAAAACTATGCGAAGGAGCTTTTAAACCGTCTGTACCTTTTGGGGGATTATTTGAATATGATTTATTCATTATAAGTAATTCTTGAGAATTTGTTAACGAGGATTGTGTAATAAGGGTTTTCTCACATACCTTACATTTAAATTTACATGATTCATCGACTGTATGTATATTTTGATGTTTATTATTATCATCGTGGATTAAATCATTTTTGCTCTCATGTTCTATAGGCATTATCAAATTTTTAAGTCGGTCAATGGTTACGTCCTGTTCTATACAGTCTAAGTTCACTTGGTAGTCATTATCGGTTTCACAATTAGATCCATCGGAACTCTTCATTAAACAGTTAATAGCGTTTCCCCTAAAAATTGTTCGAAAAATCCTGGCCGACGGATTAACATTATAACCACATTGTTGTCTATATTTGGAAAACTGATTTTCTAAACAATCTTGACTAAGTCTGTTAGTTAATAAATAAGACATTCCTTCATCCTTTTCCTCAGAAAATAATTGTAATATGCCCTCTACAGCTTGAATCAATCCATCGAAACATGGTGGTCGCGTAAGAACTTTTGTTTTACTATTAACTTTATATAAACGTGACATCATTTCTTTAACCTCCGTCAGTGTTTCAAAAACAGCATTATTTTTGTCTGAGAGCGCAGATTTATATGGATTATATTCATATAAGTTTCGACTGTTCAAACAATCAAAAACTGTATTCATAAAATCCACAAAATCTGCTGCAGTTGGACTATTAATTTCTTTTGTGGCAATGGCTGTTCGCATTGCTGATGCAACGGAATGACTAAATGTCTGAAGTACTAATTTTACGCTCATTTTTTGAAAAGGTTTTGGTCGAACATGAGCTTCTGTTAGTTTTGTGAGCGCCCGACACTTTGTATTGTTTCTGTCAATTTCATAAAGATCTATTATATCCTGGAATGAAATAATTTTCTGAGAACTGCCATTACTACTCTTTACAACATAGTTGCCATTTAGCATATTATTTCTTATACTTTTAGCAATGTGCATTGTGTCAGGAATAGCAAAAATTTTTATTTTTAATTGTGTTTCAAATGTGTCATTTTGATTTTGTGTTATTTCCAAGAATGGTTTTTTGTGTGTGACATTTAACATCGAGTATGCTGACTGATTCCCCGTACTCTGATCGCAGATTATCATTTTTGGATTTAAATTACATTTTCGCAATTTCTCTAATAACTCTGGTATTAACTGCACTAAAATTGTATTGGAAACTGGTTTATGTGACAAAAAGTAACTAACAGGTAATTTCCAGTTTGAATATATACATCTAAGAAAAAAAACTAATGCATATTTTGCTAAAAGAGGTTTTCTTCCTAGGTGACCCATGTCCTCGTATCCTTCAAAAACATCCATATGTTTATTATATTCTAATTTTTCAGAAATAATCATTTCGTCAAAAACTATTGTGCACTTTTTTTCGGGCTCGGGAGAATAAGCGGCAAATTTTTTTGAAATTTGTTTAAAAATCTCTTCGTTAAAGCCTGGTTGAAATTTAGACTGACCAATCCATCTTTTAATAGTAGTTAAACCTGGTAAAACAATTCCTTGATGCCGTAGAAACTTGTACGCGGCTGGGGACTTATAAAATAACATGATAGAAAAATTTTTCTCGTCAACATTCCATTTTTTTTTATTATGTTTCAGTTGCATTTTCGCAAAAATTTTAGAATTACTCGAACCAAATTTAAAAGAATTTATAAAATAATCGATGCTAGATGTTTTCCTTAATTCATGTACTTTTACGCGTAATCTCGCATTTCTCAGTCTAAGTTTATTTGCCTTAGATATATAGTACTCTAATTTGCTTTTTTTTGCTTCGATTTCATCTTCATTGTTTGGTTGCATTTAGGCCTTCACCACGTTTTATTTGTGTCAGATTTCCAGTTTCATGTCTTAATTCAGCGGATAATTATCTGAATCAATATCGGCAAGTAGTGCATTAGGCCTATTGGAGATAGGACTGCTAAAACAAAAAAAAAAAAAACAAAAAAAAAACGCACGGTAGCAATACCTCATTGGTGGTGCGGAAATTTGCCTGAAATCGATATTTTTATTGTAAAATGTACAATACACCATATTTCCCACCCACTGCAAAACAGAAGAAAAAAAAGAAAACTTTGTGAATCTGTTCCGCTTTTTTACTGTTTGTTTTCTTTGAAATGGTTCTTGCGTCGAAGTGAAATAGCAAAAGCTTATTTACTTAAATATTTTCCTGCAACGTCCTGTGATGTAAAACATATGTGTTTCTCATTGTATAAAAATATGTTAGATAATAAGCGACAAAATTTTCTTGTTGAAAATGAAAAATAACACAAGATTATTAATTGTAATAAAAATTAAATAATATCAAGAACTTGTATTATATATTAAAAACATTCATTGTAAATAAGTAAATTATGTAAATAAACCATAAAAGCATAAAAAATGTTTCTGCGATCTTCATTCAAAATCCCAATTTACCCATAGGAATTAAGGGGCAAAGATGCTTCACTGAATTTATTACCGATTTTTCAAGAAAAGTATGCGATAGCCTATAAGCGTCTAATGGATTAAAACAACAAATAATAATAACAATAATTTGTTTGTTTTATTTGTTCATTATAATATTCCCATTTATTTACTTCTAGAAACTTCAAAATCAAATATTACCTGGTTGACGAGAAATATTCGCAAATTTGTGTTAGGTTCATCTGGCAAAGTTTTAGGTAGGTGTCAATGGAATAATGCGATTAAGTATTCTGACCGTTTTAAGGAGTGTTCGTCCAATAGTGCGTAAACTAAGAGATTTGGTTAATTTTGATAAATACCTAATGTCTAACGACATATTACGCATACGTTTGTATGTAGGTACTACCCCATTTACTATATTTCCAATCTGTACATTTTGGTTTTTATTGTTGGAACATTTTTCGCTTCATTCTTAAGTAAGAACTGAAGTAGGTAAGAATTATCAATGAGACCGGCGGTCCTTCAGCAGCTCGTAAATGAAGAGATTTGTAATAAAGTTTCCTATAACAGTATGTCTCTTCAATGAAAATTTTAGTTTGTTAAACATTTGATGCTGATTTGCACGAATAAACAAATTAAAACATTAGCCAAACAGCGGTTGCTAACGATGTCAGAAAAACTGACTCGATTTGAACTTTTTCCAAAATAGTAATTATTTTATCGAATAAAAAAAATATGTTGACAGTATGAAATAAAATCCATAACGACATACCTCCGATAATTCTTTTGGCAATACTCGTTTCGAAATTAAAAACTCGGCTCCCTACGGTCGCCTCGTCCTGAGACATCTCACTCTTTCTATAAAATTTGAGTTATTTATAATAATGTGGATAGATGTGTTTCCACTCTAATTTCAGCAACGGTGGATGCTTTATATTTCATCGTATTGGTAAAACTTTTTTCAACAACTATTTCGTGCATGATAGACATTGAATCGGCAAAACCAAATTTTCAATAGAAAATATTTTGAATCAAAGACATGGAGCTGAAAATAACTTCTGGGAGTTCAAATTTAAAAATAATAGAATTAAAATAAATTTCTCTAGCTAATTTTCGAGGTTGGTTGAAAAATTTTCAAAAGTTGCATTGGGAGAGTATTGAAAATTTGAGTTTTTAGAAAAATTCTGACATGTAAATCTCAACGTGCAAATTCGAGAAATGTGAAAGTTTTATTGTTCCAGAGGAACCTCTTTGAAATATTTGTTCTGAAACTAATTTTTCTTAGAATCCTAAAAATCACCATATTTCAACTGGCGATTCTGCACAACTGGTCGGAATTCTAGAAAAAATGAAGCGTAAAATAACTACTCAAAATTGAATTCTACATAAAAATGATCAAAAATTTCATAAAATTGGTGCTGAAAAATTGAGCTTTTGCAAAAATGGTTCAAAATCCACAAAAAGTTTGGCATACGGATCTCCCCGTGTTGATTTGGAAACTATATCGTTTTTATAGTCTCGGCCCAAAATTTTTGAAATATTCGCCTGGAACCTCAATTTTTTAAAAAATCTCCAACAATTAAATTGGCGACGAAATGAAACCGGAAATACCTTCTGGGAATCGAGATCTACAATTGGAATACGAAAAAACGTAATTTTCTAAAAGTAAAATTGGCAACACTGCACGCATCGAATGCGTGTATACCTCCGGCTTATTTTCTGATTTCTTAGTAAAGATGGTGACTGAAATCAAAATTTTATTATTATTTTTGGACAATAACCATAACAACCAGTAGTCATCAATTGTTGTGGATTATTAATATTAAAACAGGCTGTTACTTTTCAATAATAAATGAACCAAAAAAACATTTATTAATAAGATATTTAGAAATTATAAACAAAAACAAAACCAAAAAAAAAATCCATTAAAGCATAACCAACTAAACACTAGAGAAAATACTCAAAATTTCTGCCTTTTCATATAAGTAAGTTCTCTTATCGTATCAAATACTATCACCACCCACCCGCCCTCTATTTTCTTGGAAGGTATGTCATTTGCCAAATCAGTCTTATCTTATCAAATATCTACTATCCCCACCCACCCGCCCTCTCTTTTTGGAAGGTATGTGATTTGCCCAAATCAGTCTTGTCTTATCAAATACTAGCTCCACCCTCCCGCCCTCCATTATCTTCGAGAGTATCTCATTTGCCAAATCAGTCTTATCTTATCAAATAATTACTATCCCCACCCACCCACCCTCTTTTTTTTGGAAGGTATGTGATTTGCCCAAATCAGTCTTGTCTTATCAAATACTAGCCCCACCCTCCCGCCCTCCATTATCTTCGAGAGTATCTCATTTGGCAAAATCAGTCTTATATTATCAAATACAAGCCCCGCCCACCCACTCTCTGCTTTCTTAGGGGGTATGTCATTTGTCAAAATCAGTTTTATCTTAGGTACTAGCTAGTACCTGCTAAGGGTAGGTGGGCGGGGCCAGTATTTGATAAAATAAGACTGATTTTAGTAAATGACATACCCTTTAAGAAAACGGAGGGTGGATCTAGTATTTGATAAGATAAGACTGATTTGGGCAGATGACATGCCTTCCAAGAAAATAGAGGGCGGGTGGGTGGGGATAGTATTCGATAAGATAAGACTGACTTTGGCAGTTTTGACATTTTTGACCGTTTTTCAACAATGTTGAAAAATTAACCACCCTCGATTTTCTTGGAAGGTATGTCATTTGCCAAATCAGTCTTATCTTATCAAATACTTACTATCCCCACCCACCCACCCTCTATTTTCTTGGAAGGTATGTGATTTGCCCAAATCAGTCTTGTTTTATCAAATCTATCCACACTAACAAGTATTTAAAATAACAAGTAATAATTTGTTTGTTTTATTTATTTTAATTCATTATAATAATCCCATTTCTTTATCAGAAACTTTTAAACGAAATAAAACATACTTGGCTAGAAATAACGGCAAACTTGTGTTAGGCTCATCTGGCAACGTTGTAAATTATCTAAATGCTGACTATGAGATTTTTACACATTTTTTTCGTCGCCCTCCATCGAGTGGTAGATTTATTAAATGTATTGTTGGTGTGATTTGTGTTACCTATGCGCCGGCGTTTGGTGCGCCATCTCTTGTTCGCCGGCCGTTGGCCTGTTCGCTCCAAACAATAGCATGGGTCTATCTATATGTATTTAATCAATGCCTCGTCCTTGTGACGTCCTTAAACTAACGCCGTTTTCCTCGATTTGCAGTTACGTAGCTCGTTCACGAAAGCCTTTTCCCGAAATGCCAAAGTAACAAAAGTACAATGCCAAAGCGAAGGCGAAAACGAACGCCAACACAGTCCTCCCCCTCCCGCCCCGACGGACGCCGGTCAAGAAGTGGCCGAATTGCAAAAACAACTACGAGAAAAAGATCTCGTCCTCACCGACATACGTCTGGAAGCCTTAAGTTCCGCCCATCAATTAGAGAGCTTGAAAGACACTGTGATGAAAATGAGGGTGCGTCTCATATTTTTTTTTTTTTATTATTATTATAATCGTGATCGTTGCTTTGTTGTAGAGCGAAATGCTCAGTCTTAAACAAAACAATGAACGGCTACAACGGATGGTAAACGGAGCGACGAATCTTCCGGCGGACTTGACAGAAACCCGAAGTACCAATAGTATAGATGCCCTAAGTGACCTGATACCGACGGAAGAGCCGCCTCCTGAGCCAGAACAGGACGGGAAACGAGTGACGATTAGTGTGTACCTGGGACAACCGCACAGTTTTGAAAAGTGAGTAAAAACCTTAAAGTGGGGTTAATTTTGAGTGTGTAGGTATTACGCCGAGCACTACAACTATGACGGAATCGGCGACAACGCCATCACCGAGATTGCCATCGCTCACACGAACATTGGGGCTTCGTCCAGCTGGGGTCAGTTAGACAACACTGTGAGGAGGGCGTTCAAGCAGCACGTAGCCAGATTGGACCCAGGTGGAGGTCTAGGACTCGGTAATACCGTTTCACTTTTTTTGATTTCCATTTCACGATGATTTGTGACTAGGGAGCGACTCCATCGCCAGTTACAAACTGGGCGAAGCCGAACGCAAACCCGACTCGGGTCCTCCCGATCTCCTCCCCGTGGGTTACGCCGTCGGACGTATCTCCACTTTGCACGTCGTCCTGCAACCCGTCGCTGCCTTAGCTTTCGAAGCGCTTATCCCGAAAGGTGTTGCCCAAAGACTAGTGTCTTTGCTATCAGAGCACAGAAGACTCGTCCTGTGTGGGGCCCCGGGTACCGGGAAGACTCACTTAGCGACGAGGCTTGCGGAATTCCACGCGCAGTCGCAAGGAAGGGATCCAGCTGAGGCTGTTGCCACCTTCAAGTAAGACACCGACGATGAAGTCGCCGTTCGTAACGAGTTTGATTGCAGCGTCGACAACAAGTCAGGGAAAGAATTGAGGCAGTACTTGGCGCATTTGAGTGAACAAGCGGCTGCCGGTGACAATAACGTCCTACCGTGTGTTGTCGTCTTGGACAACCTCCACAAAGCGGGACCTCTGGCAGACGCTTTAGGCTCTCTACCTCGAAATCTACCTTGCCTTTTAGGAACGATGGCGCAGTCGGCGTGCTCAGCCACGAGTTTGCAGCTCCAGCACGGATTCCGGTGGGTATTGGTCGCCCCACACATGGAACCGGCGCGGGGGCTTCTCGGAAGAGTACTACGGAGGAGGTTGGCCTCTCTGGAGCTGGAACAAGGACCGCAGCCCGAGCTTGCCGCGATTCTGGGGTGGCTGCCGAGGGTGTGGCAGCACCTCAACGCTTTCCTGGAGACCCACAGCTCGGGCGACGTGGCGATCGGCCCCAGACTCTTCCTTAGTACGTATATTACCACCACCGTATGTCTATGTCACTATATACTTCCACTAGGTTGTCCTCTCGAGTTGGACGCCGCCCGGGCCTGGTTCGCGGACGTGTGGAACTACTCCCTAGCTCCGTACCTGCGCGAGGCGGCCCGCGAGGGGCTGCAGCTCTACGGGCGGCGCGCCCCCTGGACCGACCCTGCGCAGTTCGTCCTCGACACGTACCCCTGGCCCGGGGCGCCCCCTCAAGGGCTCACGAACATCACGGCCAAGGATGTGGGTCTGGAGAACGGTCCTGCGGCCCAGACCGAGAACGAGGGCGATCCTCTGCTGAACATGCTGATGCGTTTGCAAGAAGCCGCCAACTATTCGAGTCCTCACTCCAACGATTCCGACTGCAATAGTCTGGATTCGAATATGACGCACGGAAGCAACGTCGGAACCGAAAGTGTCTCTTAATGGGGTTTTCCATGATAATCAAATTTTGGCGATATTTTATATAAATTGTTCCGTGATAATTTATTTTTTGAAGTGTAACGACGCGTTTTCAAAAGAGGTAATCAAAAATCGCTAGGGTTGAGTTTGATGTAGAACAGTTTATATAAAATTGTAAGGTTACTAATTCTATGGAAAGTAGTTATGGATACCTAATGACTATAACAAAGTGCTTCACCGTTTTCACTTGTATTTTAATGTTATACAAGCCATTTGTTGTTTTTGTTTATTTAAGAAATATACACTTTGTTTTTAGAGATTTTTTTAGAACAGTATGTATATTTCTTAGTTTGTCTGTGTTTTCAATGAGTATTTCTGGTCAGATAACCAATTATGTAAATATGTTATTTATATTATACATTTATACAGAAGGAAATTTTCTATGCCTATGTTTATTGTATTTATAATGTAAAATGTTTTAATAACTTTTATACAAATTGTAAATTGCCAATAAATTATTGCAAAAAAAAAAGTGTTTCAAGCTTGGAAATCCCTTTTCTATGGATTTTATTCTTAAGTTATCAGTTGACAAGTTCTATATTCAACTTATTTACATTGAAACCATTGACAATTACAATTTTCAATGGTTCCCAATGTAAACAGAGCGAATATATCCATTCCGAGGTCTAATAAGACTTGTATAAAATTAAGAGACATATGCAAACAGTTATATGCATGAACATATTATAAATCACACCAATCTTGATTCTCCTAAAAAATATGAAAAACTTACCATCGCAGTTGCATCCACTGTATTTCTCTCCAATCTTCGCCGTTTACCTCTATTTTCGCCTTTGTTCACATTGAAATCACTTGGTTAATGCATTCAGTGGTTTCAATGTGAACACTACGAATATAGACACTGTTGTAACCTCAAAGACACCGGTGAATAGTTGGTTGCCTACATTACACTACTTTATACATGTGACAAAATGGTCAAAATTTCACACATTCAGTTGGTTTTGCAAAAAATTAGTTTGACTTTGTTTTAAATGTTAGATTCTATCGCTTGTCAAATTAAAATTCAATTCCCACTTTACAGTGGATAAAATAAGTCAGTGAAATGGAGAAGGAAGGGCGGAACTAAGTTTAACTTTTTTGTACAGAATCTTCTTAGTAAGCGATAGCCCCGCCCACCCGCCCCTGTCTTGATTCTAATGACCACTCTTAATCTTGATAATTAATTACAACATTATCACCTTACTAAAATTTTGGACAAATCTGGTAAACAGTTGGTGAGAAAAATAGATAACTTGTAAACAAAGCACCTAAAAAGTATTAAACTGGTGTTAAATAAAAAGTAATATTGCCGATGCTCCTCCCACTCGCACAAACTCCACCTTAATAAATGATTCCATTAAGAAGAGGGGTCATGTCTACAATTATATCTAATTGTGTCTATTTTATTGATTTTCAATTACTTCAATGTAAACGTTGACGATAGTCGTTTTTGAATAAAAAACAAAATTTTATAAAAAAAATGTCCTCCAAACTATTATTTGCCAATTCACAATCCAACATACGTCTAAGAACCCATAAAATTAGTAATCAAAACGGAAGAGGGGTGGGTGGGTGGGGGACCTTTTGACTTTGTTTCTTAGATTCTATCACTTGTCAAATCAGAATTCAATTCCCATTCTACAGCAGATAAAATAAGTCAGTAAAATGGAGAAGGAAGATGGGCGGAGCTAAGATTAACTTTTTTTCTACAGAATGTTCTTAGCGAGCAATAGCCCCGCCCACCCGCCCCCTTCTTGATTCTAGCGATTACTCTTATTATTGATAATTAATAACAACATTATCGTTCTATTAGAATCTTAGACAAATCTGTTAAACCGTTAGTGAGAAAATAGATAAATTGTAAACAAACTACTTAAAAAGTATTAATATGGTGTTAAATAAGCATACCAGACGAGAGAATTATATGTAAAAAGCAATATTACCGAGGCTCCTCCCACTCGCACAAACTCCACCTTAATAAATCATGGTGTCTACAATTGTATCTCATTATGTCTACTTTATTGATTTTTAATTACTTAAATATAAACGCTGGCGATAGTCGTTTTTGAACAAAAAACAAAATTTTATTTAAAAAAATGTAGTCCTAGATTCTATTATTTGTCAATTTACAATTCAACATCCGTTTAAAACTCATAAAATTAGTAATCAAAACGGAAGAGGGGTGGGTGGGTGGAGCACCTTTTGACTTTGTTTTAAACCTTAGATTCTATCACTTGTCAAATCAAAATTCAATTCCCATTGTACAGCAGATAAAATAAGTCAGTAAAATGGAGAAGGAAGGTGGGCGGAGCTAAGTTTAACTTTTTTTTACAGAATATTCTTAACAAGCGATAGCCCCGCCCACCCGCCCCCCTCTTGATTCTAGTGATTACTCGTATTATTGATAATTAATAACAACATTATCATTCTATTACAATCTTAGACAAATCTGTTACACCGTTAGTGAGAAAATAGATAAATTGTAAACAAACTACTTAAAAAGTACTAATATGGTATTAAATAAGCATACCAGACGAGAGAATTATATGTAAAAAGCAATATTGCCGAGGCTCCTCCCACTCGCACAAACTCCACCTTAATAAATCATTCCATTAAGAAGAGGGGTGGTATCTACAGTTGTATCTCATTGTGTCTACTTTATTGATTTTTAATTACTTCAATGTAAACGCTGACGATAGAGTTGTTTTTGAACAAAAAACAAAATTTTATTAAAAAAAAATGTAGTCCTAGATTCTATTATTTGTCAATTTATAATCCAACATACGTCCAAGAACCAATAAAATGAGTAATCAAAACGGAAGAGGGGTGGGTGGGTGGGGCCACTTTTGACTTTGTTTTAAATCTTAGATTCCACCACTTGTCAAATTAGAATTCAATTCCCATTTTGCAGTAAATAAAAATAAGTCAATGAAATGGAGAAGGAAGGTGGGCGGAGCTAATTTTAACTTTTTTTCTACAGAATTTTCTTAGCAAAGCAATAGCCCCGCCCACCCACCCGTCTCTTGATTCTAGCGATTACTCTTAATATTGATAATTAATAACATTATCATTTTCTTAGAATCTTAGAAAAATCTGTTACACCAAAGTACCTAAAAAGGTTTTTAATCTGGTGTTAAATAAGTTACCTATGCTCCTCCCACTCTCACAAACTCCACCTTAATAAATCATTCCATTAAGAAGAGGCGTGGTGTCTACAATTGTATCTCACTGTGTCTACTTTATTGTTTTTTAATTACTTCAATGCAAACGCTGACGATAGTCGTTTTTGAACAAAAAACAAAATTTTATTTAAAAAAAATGTAGTCCTAGATTCTATTATTTGTCAATTTATAATCCAACATACGTCCAAGAACCAATAAAATGAGTAATCAAAACGGAGGAGGGGTGGGTGGGTGGGGCCACTTTTGACTTTGTTTTAAATCTTAGATTCCACCACTTGTCAAATCAGAATTCAATTCCCATTTTGCAGTAGATAAAAATAAGTCAATGAAATGGAGAAAGAAGGTGGGCGGAGCTAATTTTAACTTTTTTTCTACAGAATTTTCTTAGCAAAGCAATAGCCCCGCCCACCCACCGTCCCTTGATTCTAGCGATTGCTCTTAATATTGATAATTCATAACATTATCATTTTATTAGAATCTTAGAAATATCTGTTACACCAAACTACCTATGAAATGGAGAAAGAAGGTGGGCGGAGCTAATTTTAACTTTTTTGTACAGAAATTTCTTAGCAAAAGAATAGCCCCGCCCACCCACCCGTGTCTTGATTCTAGCGATTGCTCTTAATATTATTGATAATTAATAACATTATCATTTTATTAGAATCTTAGAAAAATCTGTTACACCAAAGTACCTAAAAAGGTTTAATCTGGTGTTAAATAAGTTACCTATGCTCCTCCCACTCTCACAAACTCCACCTTAATAAATCATTCCATTAACAAGAGCGGTGGTATCTACAATTGTATCTCACTTTGTGTACTTTATTGATTTTTAATTACTTCAATGTAAACGCTGAGGATAGAGTCGTTTTTGAACAAAAAACAAAATTTTATTTTAAAAAAATGTAGTCCTAGATTCTATTATTTGTCAATTTATAATCCAACATACGTCCAAGAACCAATAAAATGAGTAATCAAAACGGAAGAGGGGTGGGCGGGACCACTTTTGACTTTGTTTTAAATTTTAGATTCAACCACTTGTCAAATCAGAATTCAATTCCCATTTTGCAGTGGATAAAAATAGGTCAATGAAATGGAGAAAGAAGGTGGGCGGAGCTAATTTTAACTTTTTTTCTACAGAATTTTCTTAGCAAAGCAATAACCCCGCCCACCCACCCGTCTCTTGATTCTAGCGATTGCTCTTAATATTGATAATTAATAACATTATCATTTTATTAGAATCTTAGAAAAATCGGTTACACCAAAGTACCTAAAAAGGTATAATCTGATGTTAAATAAGTTACCTATGCTCCTCCCACTCTCACAAACTCCACCTTAATAAATCATTTCATTAAGAAGAGGGGTGGTACCTATTGTATCCCACTGTGTCTACTTTATTGATTTTAATTACTTCAATGTAAACGCTGACAATAGAGTTGTTTTTGAACAAAAAACAAAATTTTATTTAAAAAAAATGTAGTCCTAGATTCTATTATTTGTCAATTTATAATCCAACGTACGTCCAAGAACCAATAAAATGAGTAATCAAAACGAAAGAGGGGTGGGTGGGGGTTACCACCTTTGACTTTGTTTTAAATCTTAAGATTCCACCACTTGTCAAATCAGAATTTAATTCCCATTTTGCAGTAGATAAAAATAAGTCAATGAAATGGAGAAAGAAGGTGGGCGGAGCTAATTTTAACTTTTTTCTACAGAATTTTCCCCGCCCACCCACCCGTCTCTTGATTCAAGCGATTGCTCTTAATATTGATAATTAATGACATTATCATTTTATTAGAATCTTAGAAAAATCTATTACACCAAAGTACCTAAAAAGGTTTAATCTGGTGTTAAATAAGTTACCTATGCTCCTCCCACTCTCACAAACTCCACCTCAATAAATCAGTCCATTAAGAAGAGGGGTGGTATCTACAATTGTATCCCACTGTGTCTACTTTATTGTTTTTTAATTATTTCAATCCAAACACTGACGATAGAGTCGTTTTTGAACAAAAAACAAAATTTTATTAAAAAAAAATGTAGTCCTAGATTCTATTATTTGTCAATTTATAATCCAACATACGTCCAAGAATCAATAAAATGAGTAATCAAAACGGAAGAGGGGCGGGTGGGTGGTTCACTTTTGACTTTGTTTTAAATCTTAAGATTCCACCACTAGTCAAATCAGAATTTAATTTCTATTTTGCAGTAGATAAAAATAAGTCAATGAAATGGAGAAAGAAGGTGGGCGGAGCTAATTTCAACTTTTTTTCTACAGAATTTTCTTAGCAAAGCAATAGCCCCGCCCACCCACCTGTCTCTTGATTCTAGCGATTGCTCTTAATATTGATAATTAATAACATTATCATTTTATTAGAATCTTAGAAAAATCTGTTACACCAAAGTACCTAAAAAGGTTTAATCTGGTGTTAAATAAGTTACCTATGCTCCTCCCACTCTCACAAACTCCATCTTAATAAATCATTCCATTAAGAAGAGGGGTGGTATCTAAAATTGTATCCCACTGTGTTTACTTTATTGATTTTTAATTACTTCAATGTAAACGCTGACGATAGAGCTGTTTTTGAACAAAAAACAAAATTTTATTTAAAAAAAATGTAGTCCTAGATTCTATTATTTGTCAATTTATAATCCAACATACGTCCAAGAACCAATACAATGAGTAATCAAAACGGAAGAGGGGTGGGTGGGTGGGGCCACTTTTGACTTTGTTTTAAATCTTAAGATTCCACCACTTGTCAAATCAGAATTTAATTCCCATTTTGCAGTAGATTAAAATAAGTCAATGAAATGGAGAAAGAAGGTGGGCGGAGCTTATTTTAACTTTTTTCTACATAATTTTCTTAGCAAAGCAATAGCCCCGCCCACCCACCCGTCTCTTGATTCTAGCGATTGCTCTTAATATTAATAATTAATAACATTATCATTTTATTAGACTCTTAGAAAAATCTGTTACACCAAAGTACCTAAAAAGGTTTAATCTGGTGTTAAATAAGTTACCTATGCTCCTCCCACTTTCACAAACTCCACCTTAATAAATCATTCCATTAAGAAGAGGGGTGGTATCTACAATTGTATCCCACTGTGTCTACTTTATTGTTTTTTAATTAGTTCAATGCAAACGCCGACGATAGAGTTGTTTTTGAACAAAAAACAAAATTTTAATTAAAAAAAATGTAGTCCTAGATTCTATTATTTGTCAATTTATAATCCAACATACGTCCAAGAACCTATAAAATGAGTAATCAAAACGGAAGGGGGGTGGGTGGGTGGGGCACTTTTGACTTTGTTTTAAATCCTTAATTTGTCAAATCAGAATTCAATTCTCATTTTACAGCAGATAAAATAAGTCAGTGAAATTGAGAAGGAAGGTGGGCGGAGCTAAGTTTATACAAAGTATTAAGCTATGACTATGTTTATAAAGCAACATTACTGATGCTCCTCCCACTGCACAAGTTCCACCCTATAAATCATTTCGTTGTGAAAAGGGGCGGCGTTTACTATACTTCATTGTGTATACTTTGCATGATTTTTAATTATTTAAATCTAAACGTTCACCGATACACCTGAAAATACACACTTACAGAAAATAGCGAAGTTTCGTCCCCACAAAAATCGTGTTTTCTCAAGTGGTAACATAACCTAGAAAAATAAAAAAAACGCACCGCAAGCTGCACAAGACGAAATGGGCGCACACAAAAACCACTGACAAACACACTTTAGACAAATTTAACCAGTTATAAGTAGAAAAAATGGAAAACACGTGTTTTACAAAACTCACGTTTGACACACAATTGCACACAATGGCGTTCGGATTTTCCGATGCATAGCCAACTTTGACTTGATTGATATAAAATCTGCCATTGGTTAGACGTGAATCGGGTTACCAATAGCACTACGTCATATTATTGTTTATTAAAAAACACTAAAAATAGCCTCAATAGAGAAAATACGGATTGCTGCTAGTTTTAAAAACGGATTTAAAATTTACCGCCGGTTTAAATCGACAACGTGGTTGGTGACACATGAACTTTCTGTCAAATGTCAAATACATAACCCTAAATTATTACTATAGTTGTAAACACAGATTTTTGTTTCTAAGCGCATAATAATGGTAATACATTTCCCGTTTTAATAACGCCCTAATTTTCTTTTTTAGTCCGCCTTATTTAACTTCCAAAGTTTGCTTACGGTGGTGCTGTTGATGATCTGCACATGTGCATACCTTCGGGCCCTTTTTCCTAGTATAATGGACAGGAACAAAGTTGGGTACGTACTAAACACGTGTGGTTATAGATGAATCAGTTGTTGCATTCAGGTTGATGGGCACTTTCTGGAAGTGCGCCCGTATTGGAGAACGCAAGTCCCCGTGGGTTGCTATGGCTTGCTTAACAATGGCGTTTTCCATCTTGTTCATCAGATGAACGTTACTGAATTTACTTAAGGTTAATGTATATATTAATAAAACGAAGAAAAGTCAAGTGAATGGATAAAATTTTAATATAAAAGTACATATAAATATCAATGAAAGAGATAGTATACAGTGGTCTACATTCAGTGATGTTAAATTGAAAATTATAGAGTCACACTTATCACCTGAGATATTTTAGACTTATGAATCTATCGTGTAAAGAATTGCTTGTTGCTAAGGGCAATTTTGGCTTAATTTTGGCTAAAACAGTATAATTTTCGATTTAACACTTATCCTAAAGTGTGTTGATTAAATTCTGTGCTTCGGTCATGGTTCGTTTATAAAATAGAGAGCGCAGAATTTAACTCTGGACAAAAGCGTAAAATACATACTCTCGTCTCAGTCAACTTAGAATGATGTAAATAGTACGATACACAGTTAGCCCCATTTAGGATTCAATGAGGCTACGCGTGTACTACAAGTGGATAAATAAATACAAACTGCTGGATAAAAATTTGACACAGAAATAGGTTAATAACTGTTCTACTAAGTTAGGCGATCTACTGACTTAGAATTTACTTTCTTTTTAATGACAGTCTTGTAATAAAAAATAATACAGTCTAGATTTTGATTTCTAAAGAGCACATCACATACTAATCGACCTATGTGTACACACCGTCCTACTAAAAAAATGTGGTGTTCTTTTTTACACAGGACAAGGCGTAATCTACCAAAATTCAACAAATAAATGCCATCACACGGAATCATCCCCGAGAAAAAACCTAACAACGGATCACGAATAAGTACAAAATAAATGCTAATTTTGGATAACCCCTTCAAACTCAAAACCCTACAATACAGAGAAATAAATGCAATTCTAACCTCACTACTATCTTATCATCTCGAGATACTTTTGTTTATGTGTGGCCAACATCTCCGTGACTGTGACTAAAGTTTTAATGTTGGTATTCACTTTGGCGACCGCTTGCAACTCGGTCAGATGCGCTACGCAGATATGATGTAGAGTCGCTAATTCTTTGGCAGTATCAGGTTTGCTTGTGATGCGGGGCTCCCCGGGGTCCGGCACGTTGGACAAGTGGTCCAAAAACACCACCATCCTCTCTTTATTCTTCAAAATGAACGGGTTCACCACCTCCATGTACGGCTCCTGCAACCGAGCTCGTTTTTGTTGTCGTCGTCATATCAAAAACGAAATCGTACCTTTCCTCCGAATTCCACCAGGTTGGCTAAATTCTGCAGACACTTCGCCACCATGACCAGACTCCTCGTCGCCGACGGCGACGGCTGCTCGCTCACCAGCCCGAACTGTCTCGGATTGAGCAACGCAGGACACAACAACCTCAGAAAAATGAACCCCGAGACCACCCGGGCTCTCACGAGGCGCTCGTCTGGCCATTTCCCGCTGACCGACTTCTGCAAACACCCGCAGATGTAGCGCACCGACTTGGGGCACGCGTCCGCAGACATGAAGATGCTCAAGGCCACTTGATCCAGCACCTGGAGCAGGAACTCGGCGTTGTTGCAGGCGTCGTCCAGCGAGTCCATCTTGGCCGGGTTTAATTCGGCGCTTTGTTTGCTGTCCAGCAACCGCAGAACGGTTTCCAGGACGGCGGCGTGGAGGAAACCCCGGCATTCCGCGCGCATGTAGAGGTCCATCAGCGTGGTGGACAAAGAGGCGGCGCGGAAGAGGGTGGAGGTTTCCGTTTCGCGCTCGATCTGGAAGATTGAGTTAGTGGATTTGAGAGAGCTGGGGGTTATTTGGTACCTCGGCGGAGTTGAGCTCGATGAGGAGCTCGGTCTCGCGGCCCTCGGCGCGGAAGACGCGCAAGAGGGCGGTGGCTAGAGGGGCTCGGTCGGCGTGGCAGATCTCCGCGAGGGTCTTGACGGAAGCGAGGCCGGGCTGCAGGAGGAGCTGCTGCAGGGGGCTGTACTCTTCGGCGGGCATCACCAGGTCGTGCAGATACCGCGTTCTTAGTCTAAGCGAACCCCACTCTCCCATGGGAGTTAATCCCGATAAGGTATACCACTCTTCTTTCTCCTCCCCGTTGCCCAGAGTGGACAAGTCGACGGTGAGCTCCGCGACTTCGGTGTCCTTCCCACGTTTTCCCTTATTATGTACAGTTAAAGTAAACGAAACTACATCACATGGCACATCGCTGGAAAAAAAAAGTGGTATTAAAGTATGCATAATAATTAATAATCGAGTCTATTGGGCGACTTGCCACTTTCATGTTTTCTCGACGTTTCATGCACCGATTATTATCAAATTTTGTTTGTGTATATTTTTTCATTTTCTTTAGTTTTGACAGTTTTTCGTTTTATACATTTTCGTTGTTTTATTTTTGATTTTTCAGTTTTGGTCTTTTGCAATTTTTCCATTTTTTTATTCGAAAACTTGAAAAAAACTTGATTAGAAAAAGTAAAAAATTTATTAAATTATAATTACATAGGTGTTTAAAATGAAAAATTGAAAAATCTAAAACTGAAAAAACGAAAAATTAAAAAAAAACGTAAAAGTTGAAAACCGAAAAATTGCAAATTGATAAACGAAAAATCCAAAAATTGAAAATTTCACTTGAAAAAAAAAGAAAAATTATAAAATCAGAACGTTGAAAAGACGGAAAATTGAAAAAAATAAAGAAAATAAGCCGAAACGAAAAATTAAAAATTGTGAAATTGCAACTCTAAGAATTGAAAATCTGAAAATTGAAGAAATGAAAAACTGAAGAATGAAAGATTGAAAATCGAATAAATGAAAAAAATTAAATTCGTAAAATTGAGAGTGAAATTTTTTTTAAATTAATTAAAAAGGGTTAAAAGAATGAAAAAAAACGAAGAGGGTGAAAAGTTGCGAAAAGGACGAAAAGGAGGAAATGGACGAACAGGACGCAAAAGGACGGAAAATTACGAAAAGGTCGAAAAAAAACAAAAAGGACGAAAAAGGACCAAGAGGACGAAAAGGACGAAAAAAAACGAGAAGGACGAAAAAAAAACGGAAAAGACGAAAAAAACGAAAAGGACGAGAAGGACGAAAAAAAAAAACGAAAAGGACGAAAGAGGACGAAAAGGTCAAAAAAGGACGCAAAGGATAAAAAAACGAAAAAGACAAAAAAAAAAACGAAGTGGACGAAAAAAAACGAAAAGGACGAAAAAGCACGATAAGGACGAAAAGGATGAAAAATTGCGAAAAGGACGAAAAAAAAACGGAAAGGACGAAAAAGAACAAAATGGACGGAAAGGACGAAAAAAAACGAAGAGAACGAAAAAAAAACAATAAGGACGAAAAAAACGAAAATGACGAAAAGGACTGTAGACTACGAAAAGGACTAAAAAGTACGAAAAGGACGAAAAAGGACGAAAAGGACGAAGGAGGAAGGATGAAAAGGACGAAGGACGAAAAAGATGAAAAGGACAAAAAAAAACGATAAGGACGAAAAGGACGCAAAAAACGAAAATGACGAAAAGGACTAAAGAGTATGAAGAGGAGTAAAAAGTACGAAAACGACGAAAAAGGACGAAAAGGATTGAAGAGTACGAAAAGGACTAAAAAGTACGAAAAAGACGAACAACGAAAAGGACGAAGGAGGAAGGACGAAAAGGACGAAAAAAAAAACGAAAATGACGAAAAGGACCAAGAAGTACGAAAAGGACGACAAAGAACGAAAAGGACGAAAAAAAACGAAAGGGACGAAAAGGACGAAAAAAAACCGAAGAGGACGAAAAAGAACGAAAAAAAACGAAAATGACGAACAAGGATGAAAAAAAAACGATAAGGACGGACAAGACGAAAAAAAAACGATAAGGACGAAAAAGGAAGAACAACGAAAAGGACGAAGGACGAAAAAGATGAAAAGGACAAAAAAAAACGAAGAGGACAAAAAAAGACGAAAAAAACCGAAAATGACGAAAAAGAGAAAAATTGTAAAATCAAAACAGTGAAAAACGTAAAAATTGAAAACCGAAAAATTGCCAATTTATAAACTGAAAAATCAAAAAATTGAAAATTTCACTTGAAAAAAAGAAAATTATAAAATCCGAACACTGAAAAACCGGAAAATGGAAAAATAAAGAAAATAAAAAGCCGAAACGAAAAATTAAAAGCTGAAAACTCGTGAAATTGTAAATAGAAAAATTGCAAAATCTAAAAATTGAAAAAATTATAAAAACGAAAAGGACGCAAAGGACGAAAAAAAATTAAAAGGACGAAAAAAAAAACGAAAAGTACGAAACGGACGAAAAAGCACGGTAAGGACGAAAAATTGCGAAAAGGACGAAAAATAAAACGAAGAGGACGAAAAAGAACGAAAAGGTCGAAAAGGACGAAAAAAACGAAGAGAACGAAAAGGACGAAAAAAAAGACGAAAAGGACTAAAGACTACGAAAAGGACTAAAAAGCACGAAAACGACGAAAAAGGACGAAAAGGTCGAAACGGACGAAAATACGAAGAAGGACGAAAAGGATGAACAACGAAAAGGACGAAGGAGGGAGGACGAAAAGGACGAAGGAGGAAGGACGAAAAGGACGAAGGACGAAAAGGACGAAGGACGAAAAAGATGAAAAGGGCAAAAAAAGAACGAAGAGGACGAAAAAACCCGAAAATGACGAAAAAGACGAAAAGGACGAAAAAAAAACAATAAGGACGAAAAGGACGAAAAAAAAAACGATAAAGACGAAAAGGACGAAAAAAAAAACCGATAAGGACGAATAGGACGAAAAAAAAACGGTAAGGACGAAAAGGACGCAAAAAACGAAAATGACGAAAGGGACTAAAGAGTACGAAGAGGACTAAAAAGTACGAGAACGACGAAAAAGGACGAACAACGAAAAGGACGAAAAAAAAACGAAAATGACGCATAAGGAAGAAAAGGACGAAAAAAAACCGAAAGGGACGAAAAGGACGAAAAAAAAAACGAAGAGGACGAAAAAAAACGAAAAAGACGACAAAGGATGAAAAAGGACGAACAACGAAAAAGACGAACGAGGAAAAGGATGAAGAACGAAGGACGAAAAGGACGAACAACGAAAAGGACGAAAAAAAAACGAAAATGACGAATAAGGAAGAAAAGGACGAAAAAAAACCGAAAGGGACGAAAAGGACGAAAAAAAAAACGAAGAGGACGAAAAAAAACGAAAAAGACGACAAAGGATGAAAAAGGACGAACAACGAAAAAGACGAACGAGGAAAAGGATGAAGAACGAAGGACGAAAAGGACGAAGGACGAAAAGAACGAAAAAGGACGAAAAGGACAAAAAAAACGAAAAGGACGAAAAAGAGAAAAATTATAAAATCAAAACAGTGAAAAACGTAAAAATTGAAAACCGAAAAATTGCGAATTTATAAACTGAAAAATCAAAAAATTGAAAATTTCACTTGAAAAAAAGAAAAATTATAAAATCAGAACACTGAAAAACCGGAAAATGAAAAAATAAAGAAAATAAAAAGCCAAAACGAAAAATTAAAAACTGAAAACTCGTGAAATTGTAAATAGAAAAATTGCAAAATCTAAAAATTGAAAAAATTATAAAATCGGAACAGTGAAAAACCGAAAATTGCAAATTGAAAAGTTGAAGAAATGAAAAACTGAAGAACAAAAAATTGAAAAAAATCAAAATAAAAAAAAAATTGTTTTTTTTAAAATCGTTACAATTATTACATATTTAAAATGAAAACTAGAAAAACCGCAAATTAAAATTTGAAAAAAACGAAAAATTAAAAAAATCTATAAGGTGAAAAATCGAAAAGCTGAAAACCCAAAATTTTCAAATCAAAAAAATAAAAAATTTCAAAAACCATTTCACATACATTCAAAAATGAAAAATTATAAAATCAGAACAGTGAAAAACTGAAATTGAAAAACTGAGAAATCACAAATTGAAAATCAAATGAATGAAAGTTTTAAAATCGTAAAACTGAAAAAGTGATTTTTTTAATGACCACAATTATTACATATTTAAAATGAAAACCAGAAAAAATGCAAATCAAAAATTGAAAAAACGAAAAATTAAAAAATCTATTAAGCTGAAAAATTGACAATCCAAAAAATGGAAAAATCGAATAATTCCCAAAATTGGACTGTTGAAAAGTTGAGAAATCGAAAACTTGAAAAATCAAGAAATCGAAAACTTTGAAACATTGAAACATCGAAAATTGTAAATTTAACAAATCGAAATATTCATTGAAAAATCGAAAGTTCACCAATTGAAAAATCGAAAATTTGAAAAATTGGCTACCGAGAACTCGGAAAACCGAAAAATTCAAAAACCCGAAAATGGAGATTTCGAAAAATCAGAAAAATCAAAATATAGAAAAAACAAAATAACGAAACTCGAAAAATTGAAAATTCTAAAATCGAAAAACAGAAAAATTGAAATTTCGAAATTTCAAAAATTAAAAATTTGAAAAACTGAAAAATCGAAAATTTGAAAAATCCAGAAATAGAAAAATTCCCGCAACTGAATTGTTGAAAAGTGAAAAACCGAGAAGTCGAGAAATGGAAAATTAAAAAAATCGAAAAATTTCAAAATCAAAAAACTAAAGAAACAAAAAAATGAAAAGTTGGAGAAACGAAAAACTGAAAAAATTAGAATTGAAAAATCAAAAAAATTACAAAATCGGATACTCACTTGAAAAAAAAAAGAAAAATTATAAAATCAGAACGTTGAAAAGCCGGGAAATGGAAAAAAGTAAAGAAAATAAGTCGAAACGAAAAATTAAAAATTGAAAACTCGTGAAATTCCAAATTGAAAAGTAAAATCCAAAAATTGAAAATTTCACTTGAAAAAAAGAAAAATTATAAAATCAGAACATTGAAAAATCGGAAAACGGAAAAAATAAAAAGCCGAAACGAAAAATTAAAAACTGAAAACTCATGAAATTGTAAATCGAAAAATTGAAAAAATTCAAATTGAAAAACGGAAAAATTATTAAATCGGAGCAGCGAAAAATCGAAAAAATTTAAAATCATTAAATTGAAAAAAAAAAGAAAAATTATAAAATCACAACGTTGAAAAGCCGGAAAATGGAAAAAATAAAGAAAATAAGCCGAAACGAAAAATTAAAAATTGAAAACTCGTCAAATTGCAACTCTAAAAATTGAAAATCCGAAAGTTGAAGAAATAAAAAACTGAAGAATGAAAAATTGAAAATCGAATAAA